GCTGAGCCGCTACCGGGAACCGGGACAGGCGAGGCAGGCGAGGTTGACGACTCGAGCAGCAACGAAAAGAGGGCGCCTGGGCTGCGGGGGCCGAACCTGCACGGCGACCGCGTAGGTAGGGGACAGGGCTCCATCTGGAAGAAGCTGCGGTGTTGGTGAGGAGGAGGGGTACTTTGTGTCTTTGGTTTGTCAGCGGGCGCGCAGTCGATTCCAGGTACCAGCGATGAGCGAGCAAGCAGAGAGAGGGAGAGAGAGAGGCCTGACGGCGAGGGAGAGGCAGAGAAAGCAGGAGGAAGTGCAAACTTCACGGTTCATGATTTTCTTACACCCAGGATACCTTTGGGGCGGGCGGCGTTTTGGTGCGCATGATGATTTCTGGCGAGTGAACGAAACCAAAAAGGGGGAAAGTCAGGAGAAGCAGTAGTTGTCGTACAAAGAAAGCGTCGTTGCTGCTTCGAGATGACGGGTCTTGGCAGGGCTGGGCTCGTTGAAGGAAGGTTTGGGCGCGAGACACGACCATGCCAGATGCGATGCGATGCGATGCGATGCGATGCGATGCGATGCGATGCGATGCGATGCGATGCGATGCGATGCGATGCGATGCGATATGCATCCCGATGTGGGGGATACCCGCGGCGGCAGCAGCAGCGGCGGTCAGGCAGCTGTTCCGCTTGCAGAAGTCAGATGAATGGATTCAATTGTTCAGTGGTGTGTTTGCAGCCCGCTATGTGTCTGCGCGAGTACGTATTCAGTGTGAGTGGTATGCGGGCTGACTCGACCAGGAGGACCAAGGCAAGACGACGGCATCGCTCGGCAATTCACGGCGGCCAGTCACGACGGCATCAAGCGAAGGAAATACATATTCATTAAGAGCTAATTGACACCATGACCACCAACGCCATTGTCGCATCTCACCCCCGGACGCGCGCGCCTCCTACTGCTGCCACAGGCCGCCACGCTTCCACTGCCAGTCCTTGAGGAAGGGGGGGTCCAGCCCCGTCTCGAAGGCGACGTTCTGGGCGCGAATCTGCTCGTTGCGCAGGGCCTCCCTCGCGGCGGCACCGCGGTTGTGCAGGCTCGGGATGCGGTCGATGGCGTCGATGGCGAGGCTGAAGCGGTCGGTCTGGTTGCGGATGGCCAGCTCGAGGGGCGTGTCAATGTTGCCCTTCTCCTTGTAGCCGCGGACGTGGAGGTTGGCGGCGCCGGGCCGCTTGTAGGTCAGGCGGTGGACGAGCCAGGGGTAGGAGTGGAAGTTGAATATGACGGGGACGTTGGCGGTGAAGAGGGCGGTCCACTCGGCGTCGGTGAGGCCGTGGGAGTGGTCCGTGTGGTGGATGAGCTTGAAGAGGTCGACGACGTTGACGCAGCGGATCTTGAGGTCGGGGAAGTGCGTCAGCAGCAGGTCGATGGCGGCGAGGGACTCGTGGGTCGAGACGTCGCCGCACGAGGCCATGACGACGTCGGGCTCGGCGCCGGCGTCGGTGCTGAACTGCGGCCAGATGCCGATGCCCTTGGTGCAGTGCTCGACGGCCTTGTCCATGGACAGGTACTGCAGGTGGTCCTGCTTGTCGGCGACGACGACATTGACGTAGTTGGCCGAGGCGAAGCAGTGGTCCATGACGGACAGCAGGCAGTTGCCGTCGGGCGGCAGGTAGACGCGCACCACGTCGGGCGACTTGTTGACGACCGTGTCGAGGAAGCCCGGGTCCTGGTGGGTGAAGCCGTTGTGGTCCTGGCGCCAGACGACGGCCGTCAGGAGAATGTTGAGCGAGGCGACCTTGTGGCGCCACTCGACCTCGAGGCACTTCTCGAGCCACTTGCAGTGCTGGTTGACCATGGAGCTGACGATGGGGATGAAGGGCTCGTACGAGTTGAGCATGCCGTGGCGGCCCGTGAGGATGTAGCCCTCGAGCCAGCCCTCGCACGTGTGCTCCGAGAGCATCTCCATGACGCGGCCCTCCATGGCGAGGTTGCCCGCGTTGGCATCCTCGTCAAAGT